GTTAAAAATTTTCCACTGAAATTTTAAGTTGTTTTTTCATTGAAAATTCATAATTTCAGGGAAATTATTGCGACACATAAGTCTTGATGAAAAAAATTATGTGTAAAAATTAGATTATAAAATTATATGTTACCCTGAAGAAATCTTTTATCGTATTGAATCAATTCACTTGTGGACAAATATTGTAATAAAATTTCCACCAAAAGTTCTCTTGAGAAATTTATGTCTTTCGGGTAAATACATTCGTTCTACAGAGAATTATACGAGGCCCCGGTTTTGTCAAGTGAATGTTATGGATTATAGTGTATATCATTGTCCAATAAACACTTATAATTTCCATGGAACAAATGATAATTTCAAGAACAAACTACAATTTTCTTGCCGAAAACTGTGTTATTGGTAAAACTAAACAAATTCGAGGGGAAATTTTTTTCGGAAAAAAATATTCTTTCCTCGTCATATTCTTTCTATGTTATGAACCTATGGAGTTCTCTCAGATTAAATGATTGTCGTACAATAGATTATATTTTTTCCTGCCAATAGTTCGAATTCTTCTAGAGATATTTCTGATGATCGTGACAAAAATTTAATTTTTGCGAAAGATATTAAATTTCCTTCTATGAAGTTGATTAATGTCCCTCAAGTAAATCTGTTCCACTCCATCAAATATTCTCACGTGGAACATACAGTATTTCATCCGAGTTAATTTTTTCTCGCAAAGCATTTCATCCTCGCCAAAACCCTAACACATTTTATTGTCTCAGTATCATCTGAGTCTGCCTGTTCTACAGCTTCCCTTTCCACCAAAAGTAGCTTCTTCTTTTCTTGCCTTCTTGGTTGACTGGCTTTCTCAAACCCCCTTGCCTTGGTATGAATCGCGAGATTAAACGACTTCGCTCCCTGCTAGTTACGTTCGAGTATCTCGGGGATTAGTACGAGAAAACGAGTGAGTGAGAGAAGGAAAAGCCGGGCGAAGGGGTGGGGAAAGTTCAGTACCGAGTGAAACGTAATCAAGATATTTCTTTGAGTTGAATGCGCCAAGCTGTGCGAGTTGAGAAATAAAAAGAGAGAGAGGCTGTTGAGGGTGAGGATCATCATACCTCGCTCCCCAGGAAATGTTTCGGGGGTATCTCACGGCCCAGGGTGTTGGTGGAGTTGCTAACGTGAAATGAAGATAAATGTTGGGATTTTCATAATCATTCGAGTTTCATTATGACGGAGTTTTTGAGGGGAGAAGACAATTCACAAGGTTATTCTCATCGTTAAAATTTACATGGGAAAGTCATTGGTGTGGACAAGCTGGATTATTTTGAATAACGTAATTCTCCATTTGTTTCGGGGGAAAACAGGGGAGCATCCGACCGTGTTGTCATGGCTCCGGGGTATGGATCATTTATTCGTACTACTGATGGGCCTGCGCGCGCACCTATGGCTTGGAACATAACCTCAAACATTATCTCTAACTACAGAAAGAAAACGGAAAGCTGTAGAACTGCACCTTTTACGGGCCTACCGACAAATACCTTTTCATCACGCTGTGTATAAAGTGACATTTTACGCACGCTCCGCGTACTGATCTAGTCAGTGTGACAGATGGATATATTAGGGCAGTGCACAATCGACCGACTGTGCGACTGGGGTTTTACATGGTTTCCCGTGCAGTCCTAGCTCGAATGGGGCACAGCTAAGAGTAAGATGACCATGATACCGCAGATAACAATGAGAGGAAAAAGAAAGGAGGGGCGGCAGGCTAGAGGAGGGGTTTCAAATCGAGAATTATGTCGATAAAACCAATGAAATAGAAAAAATTTAAAAAAAAATTAATTAATTTGAGAAGTAGAAGTTGAGGGTTCGCGATCTCCCATATATCCACGGTAGAAATTACCTTGAATCGACGGGAAAACTTCCCGTATATCCACGGTCAAAGTGAGCGCAGAGCGCGTGAATAGACACTGCTGAAAAACTAATAGAGTTTTCAATAAAAGTTCGAAAGAAATCCAATAAAATTTTCCGTAGAATATGGATTTCGCAACATTTTTCTATGAATTTTTTTCCCGCATGATCCTGGAGACGCGAAATTCCTGGTTTCTAGTCATAAAAAAATCCTCAAAATGTAACTGAACATTTCCAAGCAAAAGCAGGGGTGTGAGTGCTCCCTTTAGTATAATTGCTCTGTTTGTTGTTCTCATTCTTGCCTCGACGCTCAGCCCTTGAGCCTCGAGAGTCTCCTCGTAGCAACCTCAGGGGCCAACCTAAACTCCCCACGTGGACCCACATGAACGTAAGAAGGGGGAAAGTACCATATGAAACGAGACCAGAAAAATTAGTCTGCCGGGGGGATCAACCCTGACGTTTCCGGTGTCGTGTAATGGAGCCTCTGGGCTTTTGTTCTTTCTCGGTGGCAAGACAACGCCAAGAGCCAGGTACTTGGGGATGGTTCAGGAGTGAGGGACACACTCGGCAAGTCTCGAGTGTAGTCAACTCAATCATCTGTCTGCCGAGAACCCGAGAAAATGGGGGAAAAAGAAACATGTGGCTTGAGGTGAGTGTAATCAGGTGGATTTGGGGTGTGTTAAAATCCAGGATTTGGGGGGAATTGTCGACTCATTATTATTCGGTTCATGTGGGCGCGAAAGTTTTGCAGGCGGCGCAGGACGCGTGATGGCTGATTCGTCTTCTCTTCCAGTTTGAGTTGTAGTAAATTTTGTGAAAGAATTCCGAATTCTCCTGGAGTTATGCCAGCCTGGCTGGACCGGGTGCTTAATGCTGAATCAATTGAAACGGATGCAACTTAAAAATGAAAACTAAAATCAAAATTTCTCGTAGAAAATCAATCAATAGTCAATTTTACATGCGTTATTCGATAGACATTTGTTCTATATAACTCATTCTATTGGGATTATTTCTATAGGAATTCCTTGACATACATTTTTCAAGTTTTTTTTTTCACTCTACTAGGAAAGTGGGCGCGCGCTTGATTGACTAGTGATTTATACATATTATTTTTAATTATTATGTATTCATTTATTCATTAAAAGGCAGTTCAGGTCCGCATTTATTATATTTTGATTTGAGAAAGAACTGAAAAAATGATCTTTAAAAATTTGCACGTTGTAAGGCTCATGAAGTTGAATGAATATAATGGAGAAGTTATTCTCCAATTTTTGCACTACATTTTCCCCATTCATCTTTCCTGCATAGCTTAGCTATTACATATATATGTGTAATAAAATAAAACTGATTAATTTATTGAGCCATCCATTTAAAAAAATTTTCAAGATATTCATTAGCTAAGATAAACTTGAAATATTCCCAAGTCTAGGACATGTTTGGCGGAATAGATTGCTGACCAAAAATGTTTCACCAATTTTTTAATAGAAGATTTTTCCTCTCTTTTCATCCGAAAAAACAAACGAAAACACTTATAAAATTTGACCGGAGGAACTTCTGAAGTAAATATCTCAACTTTTCGAGTGGTATAGAAAAATCAAAGTCTTTTTTTCTATAAAATGTATTCCATAGAACATCTCTCTTTAAAAAACCCGTTCAGATAAGCTGCAAAATTTTCTAATGGAAATCCAATGGAATATTTCAGCGAATTCCCTAGATTTTTCTATAAAAGTCCTTTCGTACGTGACACCCCGCGGCAATAAAAAACTAAAAACAGTCTTCCGCATTTTATGTTTACCTCCCAAAAAAAAATCTTTTAATTTTATTAACTTCTTCGCGGTATAACCGAACGTACCTCATTTCTTCTTAACCATCTATATGGACCGACTTTCTTCCTCTGGCATTTCTGGTATCTCCTCTTATTTCATTCCTTCGTCCCAAATATAGTTAACTCAAAGGAGTCCAACATGTGAAAATTCTCGTTCTCATTGCAATTTAACTTGGAGTCAACTCGGATAAAAACAAAGAGGAGACTTGTAGGAGGGAGGGGGACTTAAGACGCTCAGTTTTAAACTGTGGGAGCACAAGTTACCTCCGTACAAACACACCTATAGTAGGGTTACACGCTTCATGCAGTGAACGAGAGGAAAATACGGGGAAGATGAGGAATGAAAGGGACAGACTGTTAAAACTCCTCCGACTACTGTGTCTCTTACAGTCGTGTCTGGAATAACTAACGTACATGGTATAGCTTCCCCTCATCCTCCGGCAAACTGTACAACAGCTTAACTCAGTTTGCATAAACGCCCTTAGTAGTGAATGCACTCACTTGATCTGACGCACGTAAGCCCTTCGACTTGTTCCAGCAGTTTCCACGCAACTTTCTGGATTGTTTCCAATTCGATATGTTCAAGACGTACCAACTTTCAACCCTCGGAGTGACTTTGGGGGGGGGGGGTGGATTAATTGAACGAGTGGTGGCACTGTACCTCGAAGAATTATTCAGCTGAATTTCAATTGATGAGTTTTATTTCTGCGATGAAGTGGAAAGTTTTTCGGAAATGTGGAATTTTCGCGGTAAGGAGTCATCTTACGGGAAAATGTCATAAGACAGCTTTTGTAGCTGAGAAAATTTCCCTTGAAAAAGGTCTTTTGAGGTATTCCCGTTAATTCAGTCGTTAACGTGATAATTTGATGTATATCCCCTTCGCATCAGAAGAAAACTCATGATATCCATTTTCAAATTTCACGTTTTTAATTTCTCAGTCTTTTCACAGAAATGTAATTGAATAATGACGATTAAATTTACACTGAATCACATTCGCAAGTCTTCATTTTGAGGTGATGGTAGATGACAAAATGGCGACGCTACATTTGAACAGCTGATCGATTAATCAATAAAGTAGATCACCATTTATAATTCTTATTAGCAGAAAATGATCGTGGATTTGAGGAAAAGTTTTGTTATTTCACTATTACGACTCTCATTTGTCAGAAAATAAATTTTGGCTCATCTTTTTGGTTTATCCGGTCTAATGGCATAAAATAATACTGGACTCACTTGAAATTTTCCCTGCGTTCACACGAATTGAAGAGACGCTTATTAAAATCTACCCATTCTCATCAGTCTCCCACTTGTATTGACCGAAGGGCTGATTATTGTGAATATTATTTACTGCCATGTATGAATAGACACGTGGGCCGCGTGTGATAGGTAAATATCTTCCATACTGCGACAACACGAGGGCAATGACTGGACTCGGGGGTGGATGAATTGGGCTGTTGTATCCTTTGTTCTCAAGCAGCCAATCGAGTGTCGTGATTGCCGTTGCAACTGCATTCGGGGGTATATCGGGATGGTATTTTTGATTTTTTATGTTTACCGGAGTTACTAGGGTCTGTCCGGCTGAATGAATTTTGACGGGTGACAATGTGGGGCTGGACGGGCTGTACTCATCCTTGATAATTTTATACACTGGCCTCGATGGTTCCACCTCGGTTGGACTATTTGGTACGGGGATGAAGGGATTTTTTACTGGAAGAATGGAAAATGATAAAATTTAACAGAGATCAAATTTTCAAAGGGATTTTTCTCGATTTTTGGGAAAATCGAATTATCTCGATTATTTTTCCCATCACCATTTCGACCAATTGAATTGCAGTATTCGATGTCACGTGACGCATCAGAATTTCAACCAATAGAATTGCACGCTGAGAAAAAATTAGTTCTACCGAAAAATTATATGTTCCCCTGGGGAGATCTTTTGATCGTGTTGAATGAATTTACTTGTGGGCAAGAAATAAAGTTTCCACCAAAACATGATAATTTTCGTAGTAGTAAATGTTCTCGTCAGACATTTATGTGTCTTTCGGGTAAATACATTCGTTCTACAGAGAATTCCCAGAAAACAATTTTTGCCAGTGCCATCTAACATTTAACAGAACATCGGCAATTTGTCGACAAATTGTCGACACACTTTGCTGGGATTATATGAGGCTGAATAATTTCGAGGGAACAATTATATTATATTCTTTCCTCGTCAATGTATTCTTTCTATGATATAAACATATGGAATTTTCTCTGATCAAATGCACTAATAGAATATTCGAAAGGAAATGCGTTAACTACACTGAGAGAAAAAATTACTTCTGCCAAGTAAATTTACTTATCGCAAGTAAATGTATATAAATATTAGCATTTGAAATGTGTCGATTTTCTTGTAGTTAGTAAATTTACTTGGCAAAGGTAATTTTTTTTCTCAGTGTATATCAACGAACGGTAGAGTTGAATATGACGAAACAAATATTCGTTAATAGTTAACGAATGGTTCACTTGAAGGGTGAAAGTCGAGTTAAACGAGGCTCCTCAAATATGCATTTGTTAACTATTAACGAATGAACATTTGGTGAGATCGAATAGACCCTAGCCTACAACTAAACCTATTTGTTAACAATAATTAATCCTTTCTATCTTGTGATTGTCGTGCAATAGATTATATTTTTTTCTGCTAACAGTTCGAATTCTTCCAGGGATATTTCTGATGATCACGACGAAAATTTAATTTTTGTGAAAGATATTAAATTTCCTTCTATCGAGTTGGTTAATTCCCTTCAAGCAGATCTATTCGATTCCATCAAATACACTCACGTAAAACATAGTTTTTCCGCAGAGCTAATTTTTTCTCTCAGTGCAGACATTCAATGTCACGTGATTGACAATGGGAGCTTCGTAAATATTTTGAATAGAAATTATTCTATTACATGTTTACGTGAATATTCAAGACATTATAATCGTATTACTATACTCATGCTCAACAGGCACAACATCCACTGGCGTCCCTGTCTGCAAACTCTCGTACCCATAATGATAACCGAGACGCTGTGTACTCTTGGTATTTCGTGACGGTAGATACCCTCGGGAGGGTGTCTCGACGTAACGTGATGGCACTGGTGATCGATTTGATATTGGTGATGCCTCAACAACCCACGCAATGCTGATCTGTAAATGGAGTAACCATACAGAGAAAACCAGAGATCACTCTCCGAGTTGATACCAAGTTTAATTCACTGGGGGAATATATTCTCAACGTTTGTACTTTTGTTTTGAGATCGAGTTTGGCTTAATACCAACCAGTATTACGGAGAACATTGTTTCCATTTCGTGTCTGCGACTGTTACTGAGTTAGTTCAATTGTCAAGTCATTTATATACCTTTGGTGCAATGGTTAATGGAATTGTAGACTTGTGGGGCTAATGGACGAGTCCTGTTGGACAACGGAAGTGCTGTTACTTATTTCGAAGAGAAGTTCATTTAGTTTTCTCTTTCAGTATTTTTCACTTGGACATTTTCTCCATTTCCGTTCAGAGGTGACTTTTACTTTTGAACAATTCGCGTAATTTATTTGTTGCGTTGATGGGGCTAGAGGATAGCTGAATGGAACGTGGTTCCTACCATTATACTTGCTTTCAAAATAGTACATTTTATGACTTGTGCGTAAAACGTTGTTTCGCGAAGAAAGATTATGTTCGTCACTCGGTCGAAAACAACTTTTCTAACTCGTGTGATTGCATTGCAATCGTCAGAAAAGTTTTTTTCGGTTTTGTGACGAAAATAGCTATTTACACTCGCTCCGCGTGTGCGAAAATTCAGTTTTCGACACACTGTGATGAAAAATAACATTGGACACTCCTGGGAAAAGTGTTCTTTGACCCTTGGGAGAGTAGCACTCGCCTTCGGCGAGCGCTATATATCTGCCGCAGGTCAAAAAACACTTTTTTGTGATGCCTGCCTGAAAAGTGCACTTTTCAAAACGGTTTAGTGTACGTCAAGCGATTGTTTTCTGCACGGCGGGCGTAAAGTTCACGAGCCCACGTAGAGAAATGTTCAGTAAAATTACGGAACTCTCAATTCGCTCACCGATTGCGAAATCGACTTAGAAAATTTAAGTGATGGCATCGTAATTTTTCACCGGAGATTTCGATAAAAATTACGGAACGCTCTGAAAAATTCCGTGACAGTTCCGTAAAATTTTCTCCAATCACATTTAGCTTCGAAATTACGGAAAAGATACGTAATTTTTATTGAATATTTCTCTCCGTGCATGCGTAGTAGTATATTGTGTTCCAAGTGCGTAAAGAACCACTTTTACGCACGCACATGTAACATCCTATTTTTTGTGATACTTGCCTCAAAGGTGCACATTTCAAAAGCGTCGCTTTACGCATTCGAAATTCACTTTACGCACGCTCTTGAAGTTTACGCACGCCGTGCCGAAAACAACCACTTTACGCACACTAAACCGTTTCGAAAAGTGCACTTTTGAGGCAGGTATCACAAAAACACATTTTCGTGGTCAATGTTTTAAATCAAGACATCTTAAAAACTTTACGCACAAGTGATGAAATAATATATTGAGCTACGAGTACCCAAAAATGTACGTTTCCACACGTGTTACGCGTGCCATTTGTGCAGAAACCTGCTCAATTCGGTGAACATAACCATGAAAACTACCTTACCGATCTCCCTCGAAACATTACCCTCACACGATCACCAGTTACCACCCACCATAGTATTTCCACTCTCTCCCCACAGATGTCGCAACTAATATCTTCGAAGGACGTGAAGTTGTCCCGTCCCTAGTGAAAAACTGACATCCCTAAACTCTAAAATTGCCAGTCCTTCTCAATTTCTCAGATCACCTCACTTCACACAGCTGCTGAACTTCAATACACGGTGGCTAATGGAAGGGGACAAAACTGGTTGAAATATTCAGCCTCCAAAAGACGCCTGATTGTGATTTCAATATATTTGAGTACACAGGTAATAACTCATTATCAGCCACAATCAATCGTTCGTGATCGACTGTGATTCGACGTGACTCTTCTGTCATGAGTAATTGTCACTTGTGAACGTTTTATCGAGTGATGGCGAGGGTTCGCCGATCCGGCATTGCATGGGGCGCGTCTAGCGTGGCGTCTGTGATAATATGCCCTCAGGAAAATAGCTTTTCTCCTGTCAAATACGTGTTTCACACTGGAAATTTGGGTATTTCCTGTTCTAGGTTTTGAGCTGGACTCCACGAGCTCTTTGAGAGGTCACAGGCAGGATGGCTCTCCCTGGTAATTACAAACAAGTCGCACTCTCAGCTTCTAGTATGGTGGCTACAAACCGTAAGTACCTTGCATGACTCGGACTAATTTTAATGTAATCGTGTCTTTGATGCTGTTGATTCATGAATTTTGTTCCTTCTGCAGAACGTTTGAGAGCTTCTGGAGGAGGTGGAGGAGGATCTGGGGGAAATGTAAGTTGAAATGGCAATGACCTTCTGTTGGGGGTCATCAGTCGTTCACTAGAGCCATTGACAATTCCTGTTTTGGAATTTTCATGTTTTAGGCATGAAAGAGTGCAGAGGAGTCTATGAAAATAATTTTTTTACGTTTTCAAATCTTTTATGGATGTTTTAGTGTTTTTTTCGGGATATTTTTCTAATGAGGATATGTACACAATTTTAATGATGGAATTTTAGATTTATTTGCTTTGGAATTTGTCGGAGTTTTTAAAAATTTGTATTCGATCAAAGGAGTGGAGAATTTTTTGAGAAGTCTCTTTTGAGGCTTTTGATGAATTACGTAGATCTCTTCTTGCCATAGATAATTGTAAAAAAAATCATCAAATTTCAGATTTGTTTTTTAAGGTGTATCCTTATAAAACAGATTTTTCCTACGATTGATCCCATGTTTTTCATAGATAATTTATAATTTATGAAATTATTCATCTCCATAGTTTGTATCGAGGAAGTAGGGTCGTGGGAAATGTGGAGAAAACAATAAACAGCACTACATTATTGTCAATTCGCGACGTTTCGCGAAACAGAATAAACATCAGAAAATCAAAAATGAATAAACATTCCAAATGAAAACAAATGTCATGATCGACCTAATCGATAGTTATCATTGCATTACAGAAAGATTCCGGGAGTCCATTTATCCAGACTCCCCATGGTCATCCTGGATTCACCCCTCAGAAAGTTGGAAAAAATGCTGCGGTAATTATCATTCTCTAAACATTCTAATTCTAGAAAAAAAATCTCAAAAAGAGATAGAATTTCCCTGGCTTTTTGATTTATTTTTTCGATATTATGAAATATATTATGAAATATCATATTTTAAACAATAGAATCCAATGTTTCTTTGCAACTTATTTCGTTGAGGTATTTCCTATTAGAATTCCTCGGCTGAAATTTTTCAATGTATTTTATTTGATTTTTTTCTGAAAAGAAATAAAATGGAAAAAATAGAAAATTCATGTCGAGGAGTTCCTATAGAAAACATCTAAAAAAATGTATAGAATGAAGAAATCTTATTGATTTTTTCTATAAAATAGTTTCTATAGGACATTTTCTATCGAATTCGCTAAGTTTTTCTATTTTCAATAGAAATGTTCAATGAACAATATTCTACAGAAAAAAGTCAATAGAATTCAATTTTGCTATACAATTCATTCTATTGAGATATTTTCTATAGAAATTTCTCTCCCCACATTTTACATGTTTTTTGTGTGCTATGTTTTACGAAGAGAAAAGATAAATAGAATGTAGAAAACAATTAGAAAATTCATATCGAGGAATTTCTTTAGAAAACATCTTTAAAAAATGTACAGAAAGATAAAATTCACAGATTTGTTCTATAAAATAGTTCCTACAAAAACTTCCAGTAAAACTGTGGAATGCTACAATAGCGCCGGCCAAAAATAAAAGAATTTTCAATAGAAATCCAATAGAATTGTCTATAGAATTCGCTACCCTATCACCTATTTTGCGTGTCTGTAACTCCGTAAAAAAACTTGTGTCCTAAAAGCCCATTTCTGAATGATTCCAGGCGGACCCAAGACTCCCGAAACCTCCGAAGCCGCCAGAAAAGCCGCTAATGCCATACATGAGATACAGTCGTAAAGTGTGGGACCAAGTGAAGGCCCAGAACCCCGAGCTGAAGCTCTGGGAGATCGGCAAGATAATTGGTCAGATGTGGCGCGACCTCCCCGAGGACGAGAAAACGGACTTCATCGAGGAGTACGAGACGGAAAAAGTCGAGTACGAAAAATCCCTGAAGACGTATCACAACTCTCCAGCCTACCTGGCCTACATAGCCGCCAAAAACCGTGGGAAATCCGCCATCTGCGTCACGAGTTCCAGCTCTGACGATCGCGAGACCCACGATCGTTCCTCAGGGGGCAACAAGAATCAGGCAGTGCAGGACAGGCGCATAGACATTCTCCCAGCAGAGGACGACGACGATCAGGACGACGGTTACTCCGTGAAACACGTGGCATACTCGAGATACACTCGTAACCACAGGCTGATAAACGAGATCTTCAGTGATACTGTTGTTCCAGACGTGCGCTCAGTGGTCACCACCCACAGAATGCAGGTCCTGAGGCGACAGGTGCAGTCACTGACGATGCACCAGAAGAAATTGGAGGCTGAGCTGCAGCAGATCGAGGAGAAATTCGAGGCAAAGAAGAGGAAATTCATCGAGACGAGTGAGATCTTCCAGGAGGAGCTGAAGAAGCATTGCAAACCAGCCGTTGACGAGGACACATTCAACAAGATGGTGGAGCGCCAGTACGAGTTATTGCGTCGTGAGAGGGTCAAAGGTGCTGAGGAGAGTCGCCCTGAGACAGGATCAAACGATTCAACCCCAACGTCAACCCCAACTCCAGCCTCAGTGAACGAGGAGCCAACCCCAATGGAGCTTTCAGAGAACAGTGAAGGGGATAAGAAGACACCAGAGCCCGAGAAGATCGACACCAAGAAGGACAGTCCCTCGCCTCCCTACGTCGAGAGTAAATCGGACTCTCCGACCCAGAGTATCCAGAGTGCCCAGATGAGCACGAACAGCAACAAGACTGCTGATGGGAATACGAGTCCAGTGGCCCCAGTTCCTACAGCATCAGTCATCAACAGCAGTACAACAGTTGTAACTAGTGCCTCAAGCACCCCGACAACATCCCCAAACGACAATGGGAACGGTATTAATCCAGCGGGAGCTGCAGCAGTTCCAGACAACCCAAGTCCCAACACTGGCATCAATCCCACTAATGGGAATAGTTCAGGGCCCATGTACTCCACAGCAGTGAGTCCAATTCACCATCAGCTGTCGCCCCAGCCCCACCCAGTCAATCAAATCAGCATGGCCCAGCATCAGGGACAGCACCAGGGACCCCATGTGACGAATCCCCACCAGATGCAGCCCTCAAGTCAGAGTCAAGCCCCCTTGCACCAGGCACCTCAGCACCCGCAGGGCCAGCACCAGGGCCCCCACCCAGGCCCCCAGAATCAGCATCAGCACCCTCACCACCTGTCCCACCAGGGCCCAAGTCACCCTGGGCCTAATCAGCATCAGCAGATGGCGCCAGCTCCACCTCCCTCGCAATCGCCATCCCCACACTCTCAGGGGCCTCCAACACCTCAGTATCCACCGCCTGTCAACCCCCCGACGACTCCCCCCACATCGTCACCAGCACCAATCTCCCATAATCCTCATTCTTCATCGTCTTCTCATCCCCAGGCGCCTAATCCCCCATCGACTCCTCCATCGTCGTCACCAGTTCCTTCGATACCTCATAATCCTCATCCCCCAGCTGGCATGATGTCCAATCATCTGCCGCCTCATCAGGCACCTCAAGGGCCTCCAGTGATGCAGGCACAGGGCCCTGGACCCATGATACCACCGGGGCAGGGCTACTCCCAGCAGTATCCACCTGGGAATCAACCGCAAGCCCAGAATGTGCCTCTGGCACCGAGACCTCCTCATCCCTCTTATGGGTATGGACAGCAGCAGCCGTACCATCAGCCCTATCCTCAGTACTCCCATCCTTACTATCATCAGCCTTATGCACAGTATCCACCACATGGCATGGGTCGACCTCATCATGGTCCTCATAGTCCTCACAGTCCTCATTCCCCCTATCATCCGCAGTCTCCGCATTCTGTGGGCGAGGGAAATCCTCCGGGGAATCCCCCGAATGCTGAGGGCGGGGGGGCTAATTACCCCCCTGGACCCGTGCATGAACCTGAACGGGGCCAGCCCCAGGAGGGACAGGGCGAGGGCCAAGGGGAGGCCAAACCTGGGGGACATTGAGGGAAGCTTCCAGATGTGAATGATTTTTTTGGGATTTTTTAGTAATTGTGATTGGGTGGAGAGGAGGGAATGGATTGGGATGGAAGTTTGAGGGATTGATAGAGGGTGTAAAGATGTTTTTCTTTAGCGTATATGAAGGAAATTCTGGGAATGATTGGGTCACTAAAAAATTAACGAAACTTGGATAATTGACAATGAAATAGTATTGTATAATCATTTCATCCAATTTCTCGTCCAATCTTTTTTGAGGAATGTCATTGATAGTGTTTTCTTTACTATAAAAAATAAAACTGCAATTGGTAATGAAAACTGAATTTTTTAATTAAATTTCATTATTTCTCCTGTTTAATTAACAATTTAAAAACTGCATTGTTCCTATTGAATTTCATTATTTTTTACCCTTTTTGTTTTGGTATAAACTGACTCTGACGATATAAAATTATTATTTTTTTTCAATTTCACACCAGAGAATAGAAAAAAGAATTAAAAAACTGATTTTGTCCTTCATTTAATTTTTTAATCCAGAATGGTGAAACAATGAATGAAAAATTAAAATGAAAGAATTCCAGTCGACGTTTCAGTTCCATTTCAGAAACCCTCATCAGGACACACAACTCGTTCAAAACTTTATTATTCTGTGCGAGTTAGTTTTGAATGAAAAATGTTAAAAAGGAAACCTCCATTCAATTTTTTTTTTCATTCTCATATAGCCGATTGTGCTTTTTATGGTCCCGTTCCACCCACCACCCTTCGTTGCGGTGTCGTGGGCTTTCTCCCTCACCACGTCGCATTGTACTCCAGGAGCTGCTCCATGTACAGACTCGCCTGATCACCAAGGGAAACCATGGAAAACCCTGGCCTACATGAACTCCATTGACGTCCCATACCATCGGAGAATGTTCCCCAAACAATCAATCTCGATAATTTCCGGTGTCTAGACTCCCGTTCAACAGTTTCCGAAAGATAAAAAATCCCAATTTTTTGCCCCATGCTGGCCATTCAATTTAAATTCATTCTAATAACATGTAATTTTGAATTTCATTTTTAACATGTAATTTTGAAATTTCATTTTTATGTTCATTATTGATGTCATTAATGATACGTTAATAACAATTAGACCGGATAAACATCATTTATGCTGATGAACAAGAAAATAAAAAACAAACAGTTTTATAATTACAATAAGAATGTTTTGTAGGCCTTTATTAATCTTACTTTACAGCTTTCATTTGCCACAGACCGTCGTTGAGATAATGACAATTTTCAATACCTACTCCTTTGTTTACTTTAGCTCTGCAAAGAAAAAAAAATCGGGATTAACATTTTAAAAAGATCGAGGGGCCGCGAAAATAGCATCAACTCACATGTCGTCTGTTGACAATGCTGCGACACCAACAGCCAGTGCGTGCTGCTTTCCCTCAGCCATCACAGCCTTTTATAACAAACTCATTAAGGACATTTCAATTAATTTTTGGGAATAATTCGAGAGAATCTGCAGGGCAGTTCAATTTGAAGAAAAGGATACGACAACTGTTCCCTTGGTGACGGGAGTCATCTTGGCTCCTTTTGATGTCAATCCTGGACACATTATGTTGGCTCCACTGAGGACGAATCTTATGGCACCTTTATCGACCTGTTCTACTGGTAAAAAAAATGGATCTGCAAGGATAATAAACAAATTAGTTTTTTCATTCATCAAAATTTCAACTCTGAACGAGTGGAAAACTTTCATTTGACAGTAAAAACAGATTTTTTTGTTGAATTTCATTAATTTATCGTTTTATTTTTTATACGGATTGCCTTTGAGAATGATTTTTTTTGTTTAAAGAATTTTGTAATGAGAAACAAATTGGAGTTTATCGTTATTTGATTCATCAAAATTGAACTCACATTTGTGCAGCAATCGCAGGGTTGGCATCCAGGATCCCTCTCGTTGTCTGAAAAACAGCAGTTCTCCAGCTGCATTTACCATAATCTCAATATGATCGTGACTGAAAAAACAGATTTATCAATTCAATCATCGAACCAGTCATTTTTGTTTAAAAAACAAAAATAAAACAAAATCCCCCTTTTTTTAATGCGTAATCTCTCGACATTGGCTGAGAATTGAAAAATTGCACGTAATTTTCAAGGTATTTTCATAAGCTTCAATATGAGGCCATATTCATCAAAATCACAACATGAGGATAACAAAATCCCCATTCCACGAACTAAAGTGAACCCATCCTAAATCGTCAATATCTCTTGACGAAGTGATACGATTTGTACAAATCAAATCTTATTTCAAACCTTGAAAAAATACCATCAAAGTGAAAAAAGAAACATTGAACTCCACTCTGCCAATCTTGAATTACTAGCCCTTAAACCCAAAAGTTAAAATTTTCTCCTGCACCATGAATCAAAAAAAAATACCAAACCTACCATTTCACAAGACGAAAAGCGTCCTTCTTTGGAATAATCTGATCAATATGGCTCTCCAGGTGGGGATACAACTCCAGCAATTTCGACCTAATCCCCTTCTGAATGGAAGACTTGAGCTGCTGCACCCCCGAGACACTGTCCTTCTCATCGAATCTGGAATTTCCAAAAAAATTAAATCCCCGTCCCTCACTCCCCAACCCAAGCCCCATAATTGATAATAAACAAGCAAATAACTAGTATCCCACACTTTTTGAACATTTTCAGTAACTAGATCTCCCTAAACTCGCTATCAACTCAAGCACCAGCCCTCGAACTCGCGTTTTCCTTTCCACAAATAACAGAACGATCTTTCTTTTATCAATCTGTCGTTTTATTTAGTTTCCAGGTTATGTTTTTGGGAGCTTTAACCACAGGCCACCACAGGCCGACGATACCTTGTGGAAAAGAGACGAACATACGCCGGGGGGGATCCCACACGAGCCCTTTCTCCTCGTGATTGGCCAGCTCTCACTCCCACCCCCTCCAGATGTTATAAATACGTGAGTAAAAGAGAGATGGACATGCCTTCTATCTGCAACTGTTTCCCTTTGAAGGATCAGTAAATCCCAACTGCAGTCTCCATTCGCCACGAAAAAAGCAAATTCGCGAGGTATTCAACTCCATTCGCCATAAATTTCGTTGAAAAGATCATTTTTTAAATTGCTGTCGAGGTAATTCATAATTTTTCAAGCCTTCAAGGCCATTTTGATCATTTTTTAAATGATTTTTTCCATTTTTACAAGTGAGAGTCTTTCATACGTTAAAAAAGTAGTCTAAAAACTTCTAGAAATAATGCCAAGTATCCTTTCTCCATCCCCTCCACAATCATCGCTCGTTCTCCCTTTGTTGCACATTTATGTACGTACAGCTGGTAATGCTCGATATTAAGGCAGTATCGATGTATGGAATCGATAAAAATCGCCACGCGTGGAATCGATCGATCGATATATCGCGTTGAAAACATCAATAGAAAAATGTGGTTTATGTATGGGTACGTGAGGCAAAATGGAACGTTTGTTACCCGCTCAAAATATCGATCACGCATGAAAAAATGCTATAGAATTTTCTATAGAAATTTTTCTACTGGATTTTGTATAGGATATCTTGGAGCAAATCTCATACAAACACCTATAAAAAAATCCAGCAGAAAAAATCTAATAGGGTTGGCTATAGGAAATCTATAGAAATTGCTATAGATAATCTCGGAAAAAAATCAACAGGATAAAATGTCATGGGAGGTACTTTTGATAATAAGAAATCTATTCTATAGAAGTCTATAGAGTTCTATAGAATTCTCTATATGTAATTCTAGAGAAAATCCTACATTAAATCCAACTGGGAAAAATTCTATAGGGGATGCTATTGAAAATCCCGTAAAACATCTCATAGGAAAGTTTATGGAACCCCTTTTAGAAACCAATATAGAAAATTCTAGAGAAACTCCGACAGGGAAAACTTCCGTGGGAAATGCTACCGAAAATTCTGAGACCCTCTTTATATGTATAGGAAATCTTAAAGAATCCCTTATAAATACTCGTAGAAAAAATCCTGCAGAAAAAATCTAATAGGGTTGGCTATAGGAAATCTATAGAAATTGCTATAGATAATCTCGGAAAAAAATCAAGAGGAAAAATGTCATGGGAGGTACTTTTGATAATAAGAAATCTATTCTATAGAAGTCTGTAGAGTTCTATAGAATTCTCTATATGTAATTCTAGAGAAAATCCTACATTAAATCCAACTGGGAAAAATTCTATAGGGGATGCTATTGAAAATCCCGTAAAACATCTCATAGGAAAGTTTATGGAACCCCTTTTAGAAACCTCTAATATAGAAAATTCTAGAGAAACTCCGACAGGGAAAACTTCCGTGGGAAATGCTACCGAAAATTCTGAGACCCTCTTTATATGTATAGGAAATCTTAAAGAATCCCTTATAAATACTCGTAGAAAATATCCTGCAGAAAAAAAATTCCATAGAATATGCTATGTATAGCATATCGTGAGATATCCTATAGAACATCTTATAGAAATTCCTATGGAAAATTCTATAGATTCTTCTATAGAAAATTCTAGAGAAAATCCAGCAGGAGAAACTTCCGTGAGAAATACTACTAAAAATCCTATGAGACCTTCTATAGGAAGTCTTATAGAATCCCCTGTAGGAACTCTTACAGGAAATCCTGCAGGAAAAAATTCGATAGGGAATCCTATAGAAGAATTTCAATTTCTCCGTAACAAATCCTTCCCTACAAAATATGAAAACCCATTCATCAAAATTTTTCAAAATTTCGCCAAAGATGAATTTAAAAAACTCCTGAAAATTAAAATATTGGGGGTTTGAAATATCGATTCCTGCGATATATCGAGTGAGAAAAAAACATGAATATATCGATTGTCAGACCGTAAAATATCGATTATTTTCATGATCGACGTCACATTGAACATTCCCAACACACATAATAAACCCGAGCGAGCCATTTTGTGTATTGTTAGAGCAGCTGTGTAATAATTCTCATCGCAAACAACGTCCTTTGAACCCCAGAAGTGTCAAATACCACTCGTTCCTCATAACTAATGTCTCGGGGATATTCAATACAACCTGACAATTACTGTTTTGACATAAATGACGAAAATGTGTAACAACATCACGTGAAATTGTTCATTAAAAATCTCCCAGGGGTTCTTCGTGACGAGTGAAATACAGTTCACGAAAGAATCATTGAATTTGTCGATGGACGTTTGTCTTGTGTGAAGTATTCGGAGTAATTCAGAGTTTAGAACTTTTTGTCATCATCCTTTTGTTCTGGTGGAGGCTGTCGTCATCGTAGGGGTGAGTCCCATCTCACTGGTATTTATTTTTCTTTTTCGTTTAAAAATAGGATACGCTTTTGCAAGGCCAGCTTGGCAATCACGAAATAATGGACTCGTATGATTTCCGATACATGTCGAGGTGTTATTGACAAATAAGTACGAATAGGGGAATTCGAAGGATGAGAATTGGCTAGGACTTTTTGTCAATTACTTCCTGACTAGGTGATTTATGGAAGTCATTTTTTGCTGAGTAGCTTTCAATCCTTTGGAGGTGGCCAAGTTTTCGTTTGGAACTTTTTTGGAGCTCTTGAATTACTTGTAGTACAATCTTCAACCATTTTCGAGATTTTTACTAGAGACTAAAGTCGCAATAGCTTTTTTGTCTCCTCCACTGACAGGAGAATTCGATTTTATCGAGATATCAACTTTCCCTGTTGAGACATTTTCGCTAAGAATTTCTCAATAAATTTTCCAGGTTTTTCTCGGTGTTTTTTTTTCTCATCTAAAAAAAACCTAATAAAAAAATTAAGAAATTGGAGCCCAGGAATTTCTGTAGAAAATGTGTGAATAGAACAGATTGTATAGAAAAACAAAGTTTGGTTGATTTTCTCTTTAAAAAAATTTCTATTAAACATCTATATCGAAAAAAACGCGCAGAGAATTTTGCAGAATTTTTAAATAGATATTTTCTTTTTGCTACAAGAATTATTTAATTGAAAAAATTTCAGTCTAGTAAAATTTTACGGGGAATGTCAATATATATTTCTTTTTGAAATCCATTTTTTTGCTGGAATGGAATAATATTTTAAGTCAGATGACATCTAAACAATTTCGTAGAAAATCCTAGCTAATTCACTAGAAAATGCTATTAGATTTCCATTGAATTTTTATTGAGAAATTCCGCAGGTTTACTGCCCATTTTTTAAAGAGAAAATGTCCAACAGAAACAGTCTCATAGAAAAACATAATTTCATCTTTCCTTGATAAATTATCCAAGTGTTTTACACTCTATTTTTTCTTCCATAAATAAATCAAACTAAAAAATTAAAAAATAAAGTGCAGGAATTTCCGGAAAATTCAAATTCTATTGATTTATTGTATAAAATATCTTCTATTCAATATTTTCATTACAAAAATACGCAGGAACACGTATGAAGAAATTTAATAGAAAAACCTAGCGATTTCACTAGCCAATTCTATTGAAATGTTCAATAGAAAAATTTTTATAGAAAAGGTCAATCGAATTCGATTCCTCTAGACAACTTAATCTATCGAGATATTTTCTATAGAATCTCCTCGGCTTGAATTTCCGAAGCATTTTCATTTCATTTTCATGACGAAAAGAAAAGAATAATAAAATTTAAAAAACAGAGAATTTCAGCCGGGGAAATTCTATGGAAAATATCCCAATAGAATGAGTTGAATAAAAAAATCGAATTCGATTGACTTTTGCTATAGAAAATTTTCTATTGAACATTTCCATAGAATTTTCCAAAAACTAATTTTGATGAAAAGAAAATAATAGAATGAAAAAAAAAGAGAATTCGAGCCGGCGAAATTTTATAGAAAATTTTCTGTTGAACACTTCAATAGAATCTGCCAAAACTAATTAAAAATTCAATAGAAGTGTCTAGTAAATTCGCTACGTTTTTCTCTCAAGTTTTTTCATGCGTGAAGGCTGCAGAATTTTTCAATACACTCTTCTAAAACCAAATCCAATAGCATTCCCCCCGAATTCCCTACATTTTCCATAAAATACGTTCTTACACGAACCTCACCAGCATTACTTCCCCTCCCCTAAAATACCCCAGAAAAATCCCCCCCAAAAATCATTTGGCATCCAAAACAACGCATTCAATTCCTTTTGTGACGTTTCGAGCGTGCACCTCCGCCTCGAGCACCCTTGTTTATATACATGCACTTTATTTAGCCCCTCCTACGTAACAAAGCCAACTTACGACTCTTCAGCTACTGCAATCTCCTCATTCTTCCAGATACCTTCAAAATGAACACCGACAGTATGCAGACGGACCAGCACGCCCTCCCGGTGTACGAGCACGACCTAGACGACTCCGAGCTCTCCCAGGTCCTGCCAATCTTCCCCACCTCGAGCAAGCCCTGCATAAACGTATGGATGGACAAGATGAGCAAGGGCATCCTGACGTCGACGCACTTCAAGGAGCACTGGAGGATCTGGGTGCCGAAGATCTACAGTCCCGAGCCAAACGGCAACTGCCTGGGCTGGTCCTTCGACGAGGACATGGCTGAGAAGATGCTGTACAACACCCTGGAGGAGTTCATCTGCAATGGCGAGCCCAGAGAGGTTCTCCAGCAGCTGGCGAAGATGGAGAATCCCCCCTCAGTCTGCGGTAGATTCTTCAAAGTCGGTGAGCCCACGTACTTCTGCAGGGAGTGTGGAATGGACCCCACATGTGTCCTCTGCGTCACCTGCTTCAAAGAGTCAGCCCACCAGAACCACAAATACAAGATAGCAACGTCCAGTGGAGGTGGCTGCTGCGACTGCGGTGATCCTGAGGCTTGGAAGAAGGAGGCCTTCTGCAGGATACACGAGGCTGGCAAAGAGGCCAGAGAGACGTCTGGCAACAAATTGCCAGAGGACATTCGTGAGCGTGCGACGTCGACGTTCGAGGCAGTCATGCAGTACTGCTTCGAGCTTCTGGCGAGGGAACACACACCAGGACTACCAGCAGACCTCAGGGTCAAGGAAACTGACGAGGGTCCTCTCTCCTTGCTAGCAACAACAGACAGCTACTGCACTGTTCTATTCAACGACGAGACCCACACGTTTGAGCAGGTCATCAGTACTCTCGCTCGAGTCATCAAGTGCACCCAGAAAGAGGCGATTGAATTCGTCACTAATATCGACAGGAATGGACGAGCTGTCGTCAAGTGCTCGGACTTTCAGCACTGCAATGAGCTCAAATCAGACATCGAGAGGTTCACGTCGAGGCAGGGCAGTCAACCGTTGAAGGTCCTAGTGGTGCATGCCCACGTGATAGCCCACCAGATCTTCGCTATGAAGCTCTTGGGGTGGCTGCAGCAGTTCATCAGCCACTGCGAAGGCTTCAGAATCATTTTCAGCGATGTTGCATTGAACAAGAAGCTCCCTGACATGCCCATTGTCGAGGGCATACTCATGAGGGACTCGCAGTTGTGGAAGGCCGCCAGAACAGCCTGGCATCGTCTCTTCATATCGGGCATGCTGATGGAGTACGAGAGCAAGAAATCACTGGCCATTGTCTTCACCACCAACTATGGCACTGTGATGAAGGACTTCATGAAGGACGATCACGACCACTCGTTCTCAATATCATCGTTATCAGTTCAGTTGTTCACAGTACCAACACTGGCGCATTATCTCATAGCTAATCACGACGTACTGTTCATTCTCCTCAACACCTTCATCTCGGAGAGCTCGAGGCGGTGCAATCCAGTGGGGAAACTGGAGTTCGAGAGGAACTTACCGAACACTTCCTTCAAGAGGGCACAATACATTCTCTGTGATCTGTCGTATCTGCTCAGCTCCAAGTCCGACTCCTGGACAGACGAGTTGAGGAAGGGATTCCTCCAGGGGATGTCTCTGCTGATGAAGCTCCTCTGGAGCATGCAGGGGATGGACGCTGTCCTTCGTCAAGTGGGACAGCACATGGAGTACGAGCCAGAGTGGGAGTCTGCCTTCAATCTCCACATTAAGCTGTCACCAGTCATCAGTCTGGCCCTGGAATGGTGTGGCTCTGACAGAGTCGTTCTCATCAAAGCTTTCAGGCTTGTACTTAAGAAACTCAGTGAACAACCCAACAAGGATTCAACCGCCACCCCAGGACAGCTGAGGGAGCTCGCTGATCATTCAGCCACTTGTGTCCTCTACGACGTGTCCCTCGAGCCAGTCTCCATTCACCTCCCATTATCGCGATTCCTAGCTGGACTCTTTCTCTACCTCGAGAAGTACAATCTTGACTATCAGAGCAGTGATTTCATGATCCAGTCGAAGCTATCCCCCGAGCAGCTGATAGAGCCTGTCCTGAGGGCACAGGCCATGATATCCCAGGTCCACGCTGGCATGTGGAGGAGAAATGGCTACAGCCTGCTCAATCAGCTGTACTTCTACCACAACGTTCGTTGTCGAACTGAAATGCTGGATCGTGACATTATTCTCCTGCAAGTTGGGGCGTCTCTGATCGAGTCCAACGAGTTTCTGATTCACATCCTGAATAAGTACAATCTCCTCAACTGGGCTGATCTCAACTTCGAGACGAACACCCTGAAGAACCCCGAGGAGGACAGCATCAGGCAGACCATCAACCTCGTCGAGGAGTTTCTGGGCCTCCTGATAACTGTCATTGGAGAGCGTCACGTGCCTGGTGTGGGCCAGGTGACGCCCGACGACCGCCTCAAGAAGGAGATCATCCAGCAGTTGTGCATCAAACCAATGTCCCATTCTGAATTAAACAAGACTCTGCCTGATGGTGTGCACCACGAGACAGGTCTCGAGAGGGTGATAAACGACGTGGCTGACTTCAAGAAACCCTCACAGAACTCTGGGGGAAAGGGACTGTACGAGCTGAAGCCAGAGCTCTACGCCGAGTACAACGTCTTCTTCTACCACTACACTAAAGAGGAATTGAGCAAGTCCGAGGAGTCCCAGAGGAGGCGTCGCAAGGCCAATCAAGAGCTGGAGTGCTGTCCCCCTCCCCAGCTGCCGAAGCTCACAGAGACCTTCAGCCTGGTGGCCAATCTCCTCCAGTGCGACGTGATGCTTCACATAATGCAGACAGTCCTCGAGAGGTCGATAAACCTGAGGGCGAGAAGTTTCTCGGAGCCCCAGGTCCACAAGATAATTCACATAATAGGTTATGCCCTCCAGGAGCAGATGACAGGGCACTACCCCTTCCTCATCTTCACTGAACGTGCCTCCAAGTGGAGGATCTACAAGCTTCTGGAGGAGTTGTCAACCAGTCCGAGGATCGAGGCGCACAAGGACCTGGTGACGTGGGTCCTGGGGAAGTACAGGGAGGCTGCTGGTTCGTCCATGGCTGAGGCGAGCCCACAGCAAGTTGCTGTCGGCAAGGAGCCCTCAGTGTCAGCAGCCAGTGAAGAGGAGCAAGCCAAGAACAGTAAGGAATGGAGAACGCAGATGGCTGCGCAGAAGAGGGCCAAAGTTATGGCGCAAATGGCTGCGATGCAGAAGCACTTCATGAAGAAGAACGCCAAACTCTTCGAGGAGGCTGCCATCGACGCAAACAGCAAGGGGAACGAGCGAGGCTCCTCGATGGATCTGTCAGAGCCATCCCCTGAGGAGGTCCCAGTGGCCCTAGGGCCCAGACAGACCCTCAGGATCATCGAGGAGAAGACGTACACGTGCCTCCTCTGCCAGGAGGACCAGACAGTCACCCCTGGGGGCCGAGCAATGGTGTTGGCAGCCTTCGTCCAGCAGTCGACAGTCCTCTGTCAAACGAGGAATGACCCTGACGAGAAGAATCCACTGTACTTATCGTCAAGACTGGGGGCATCCCCTCACACCAGCACCTGTGGCCACGTCATGCACGCCAACTGCTGGGAGAAGTACTTCGATAACGTCCTTGCCAAGGAGAATCGAAGGCCTTACAGACTCCGGCAGCCTGCCAGCTTCGATGTTGAGAAGCACGAGTATCTCTGCCCTCTGTGCGAGTGCTTGAGCAATACAGTTCTACCTCTGCTCCCTCCTCTGGCTACGCTACAGCCAACTGAACCGAAGGATCGTCTCAACGTGGACTTTGACACTTGGTTGAACGCCCTCACCATCACCCTTGACTGCAAAGGAAAGAGCAACGTCGAAAGCATCAGCGATGACAACATGCATGGCAAGTGCAGGTACTGCAGACCGAGGAAGCCCGATGACTTTAGCATCAGTGACGGCAGCATCACGATGATGGACGCCAGGGAGCCCTTTGCCTGTCCCATCAAGAGGATCCAGGGTATCCTGGGTAAGGAGGTGGCCGATGTTTTCGATATGCAGACAGTGTCTGCTGGTGGCAAAGAGGCCACACTGTCCGACGATCTCAAGTCCATGGTCGATCTCTTCGCCCAGGCGACGTACACCAAGGGCCTGGGAGTGGATCCCCACACCAGTGACGCCAGGGTTCCCCTGCTAGCTTGGAAATCCACAGCCTACACCATTCACGCTATCGAGTTCCTCCTGAGGGACAGTGAGAAGCCACTCCTGGGGGCACTCTCCTCCAGGCAGAGGGACAGCCTGGAGTGCCTCGCCAGGATCTCAGCGGTCCTGGGGTCCACCTGGCCCAGCAGCAGCAGCCCCACCAACACTTCAGGCTCCAGCACTGGAATCAGCGAAGGGGGCGGCAACTGCAGCATCCTTGCTGGCCACGCCATGACTCTTCTCAGCACTCTGCTAGACAATTCCTCGGAGGATTGCATCGCTGATTGGGATCCCTTCGGCATCCTCGTGCCCCTGGTGGTCACACTGCCCAGTCTCTTCTCCAAGAATTCTGACGATCCTCCACCTGTTGTCACTGGTAGTCACCACGAGATTCACGCCCTGAAGCTCGTTCTCATTGGACTCATCGTCAAGATCCTGATTACCTCGGATTTTGGGAGCTCTGAAGAGATGGACGTGGACAGCCTCGAGGACATGGAGGTGGGCGAAGGGACGTACTCTGCTTTATCCAAGATCATCAGGATCCTCAAGGTGGAGACTGGTGGGCTCACCTTGTCCGAGATATGGAGACGTGTCAAGGTGGCTTCCCTCCCCTTCCTGAGGTGCTGTGCTCTCTATTTTCATTACATCACTGATGTGCCTGCACCAGCAGAGCTCACGGTCAAGGATGGAGACACCTACGAGAGTATTATGATGTATCTGGGGCTTGACACCAGCTGCGAGGGCCTCCTGGGGTCCGATGGGGTCAGGAGGCTTGCCAAAAACTGGGGGGAACATCCCAGGGCGAGACTACCTGTCGGCGTCAAGGAGCCTCTCAGGGTCAATGGTCTTGTCAAACTGCCTGATGACTACTCAGAGCTCATCAACACTGTTTCGTTGTTCACGTGTCCAAATAGTGATAAAGAGGACTCAAGGAATCCCACCATGTGTCTTGTTTGTGGGGAAATGCTGTGCTCTCAGAGCTACTGCTGTCAGACTGAGCTCAATAAGACCATGGTGGGGGCCTGCACCTATCATGCCAGCAAGTGTGGCACTGGGGTTGGGGTGTTCTTGAGGGTCAGAGAGTGTGAGATACTGTTTTTGAGGTCTCCAAATCGGGGCGCCTTCGCTTGTCCGCCTTATCTAGATGAGTACGGAGAGACTGATCAGGGGCTCAGGAGGGGCAATCCTCTCAAGTTGTGTAGGGAAAAGTACAGGCAGTTGAATCAAATGTGGCTTGGACATGGGCTCCATGAGGCCGTATCCAGGGCTATCGAGTCATCCAGCAATCTCATGTCCACGCAGTGGCAGCATCTATAATCTGATGGGTTTTAGTGGGGCGAAATTATTCGGGGGGGGGGGGGAGTTTTGTATTTGTTTTTGAGGTTTTAGGGGTTTCCGATTTTCTAGGACTTGAGATTTTGGTGGTGAGGGGTTTTTGGGGAGTCGATGGAGTCGTTCAATTTCAATTGATCAATTTTTTATGGATATCTCGGAAGCTGAGGGAAATAGGGGGGTTTTTCTAAGGACCTTGTTTGTAGAGCAGACTGAGAGCTACGAAAAAGGTTCCTGTAATAATTTTGATATCTCTCGTGGATTCTGAGATATTTTGAGGGGAAACATGTTATGGGGAACTGAGGGGGAATGAAACATTCAGGAAAATTTTGCTTTCATTTTTAGTTGAGGGTCAGACGGTCCTTGAGGATGTTCAGAATTGAGGGTCGAACGAATCTTAATGACGTATAGAGTTAAGGATCAAATGACCATTTATGATTATTCTACTCTGATCCATTAGACCCTCACGACGATCTGACTCTTGACCCACAATGTTCTTAAGGGTCATTTGTCCCTTAACACAAAGGTTGTCAAGGTTCGTTTGGCCCTCAACTAGAAATGAAAGCGAGTTTTCTAAATTCTAAAAGAGCTTTCTATTTTTCGTTTTTAGTTGAAGGTCAAACGGCCCTTGAAAAGGTCTATCCCTTAAGAAAATTCAACTCTCAAAGACTTGATATTTAATCCTTAGGGTCGTTTAAAGTTGAGGGTCAAATTGCCTTAATGGGTATACGTTTTTAAGGGTCGTTTGACCCTCAACTAGAAACAAGAAAGAGTTTCCTGAATTAGCTATTAGCATCATTCGGAGAATTCTATTTTTTGTTTTTAGGTGAAGATCAAATGACTTTTACTAATAATCGGGGCCAGGGGTCGAATGGTCGTAAGGGTCAAAAGGCTCTTAAGAATATTTGAAATTCAAGCCCAAACAGCCTTGAGGGTCAAATAGCCCTTAACAACGTTTACCCATTAAAACAATTTGACTTACAAAGATTTGACATTTGACCTTTGTGGTCGTTTCGAGTTGAGGGTCAACTTGCCTTAATGAGTATATATTTTTAAGGGTCATTTGACCCTCAACACCAAAGGTTCGATTAAGCCTCAACTAGAAACAGAAAAAGGTTTCCTGAATTAGCTATTAGCATAATTCAGGGAATTCTCTTTTGTTTTTAGTTGAAGGTCCAATGACTTTTACTGACATTTGGGGGTCAAATGATCGCGAGGGTCAAAAGGCCCTTAAGGATGTTTGGAATTTAATCCCAAATGGTTTGAGGGTCAAACAGCCCTTAAGAACGTTTACCCCTTAATGCAATTTGACCCTCAAAGACTTGACATTTGGCCCTTAAGGTCGTTTGGAATCGAGGATCAAATTGCCTTAAGGGTCGTTCCGACCCTCAAAATAACTTGAACCTCAATTAAAAAAAAAATTGACTAAATTCTCTTGGAAAATCGTTATTCCTCGTGTTTTTTTTGAAATTACATCCGATCCATCATCTCAAGACTCAACTCTTCACCCCAAAATTGAGAGAGTAATTTGGAAGCAATGAACACAATGATAAAATCATAACGTATGAGACTTGTATATATTCGTATGGTTGAGATATTTTTATTTGTTTTGATTAATCAACGATTATTATTTCTTTGAAAATCATTCAAGAGTTTACCACTCGCAAACATACACACTGAGAATAATACTAATGTAAAATTATTTATAGTGTTATTGAACGAGAGGTGTTAAGGAGACCATGAAATACGCAAGATTAATCGAATTTTATTTAACTGAATTGAACATTGAAATTGTAAAATTAGACGTGTACTATTGATTAATATTAACTTGTTTTGTTTCGTGAGATAATTTTTTCTAGTTTATTTTTATGAATGAAACTGGCGATTGTAAATCCTATTTTATTCCCCTTATCACGTGGCTCAATTCGTTCTCTGAGATGATTGAGAAAATTTAGGACTTTTCGTCTCTGGTGACAAAGGGCAAGTGTAGATTTGAAGGGCTTTACGAGAATAAATTAATATAATTATAGATAAATAATAACTTTTACTTGTTACTTTAGAACGCAAATAAAGATCTCGTCATCTGGATAAAAAAAACATTTGAAAGAATAAAAATTGATGATAGAAATATGTTAATTCTTGTTTTTCTAAAAATATTTTTTCATATATCTTCCTGTCCCCTTGGTAAACAAGCAATTATTTGAAAAATATAGCTTTATAGACTTTTTTCTATAAGATATTTTCTATAGAATTTTCTTGACGTAATTTCATCTTCTCTGAGTAAAAGTCTAACAAAAAAAACGATCTGAGGCAAATTAATCGCTATAGAATATATCTCAATACAATTCGCTATAGAAAATCTAATTCTATAGACTTCTATAAAATATTTACCATTGAACACATTTACCACTGTTTCTATTGGAAAAAAACGGCCCAAGAAACTGTGAATTTTGTCAAACGATTTCCAACAGAAGTCATAGAAATCCAATAGAATTTGATTTTTCAATGCAATTTTCTCGACATAATTTTCGTCTCCTTTCATAAAAAACATTAAGCAAAAAAACGATCTTAAACTAATCAATTTCTATAGAGCATATTTGAATAGAATAACTTCTATAGAAAAATACAATTCTATAGCCTGTTTTTTCTATAAAATTTTTACCATTGAACGTTTCCATTGACAAAAAGCCACCTATGAAGCTGCGGATTTTTCCAATAGAATACGCAAAAAACCAATAGCATTTTCTATAGAAATCCAATAGAATTTTCGACCGAATGCCCTCATCCCCCCATTCAAAAATTCGAAGTGACTCCACTCTACCTTACCACCAGTCGCTAAACCGCCCACACACGTACCACCCCAACACACACACATCCGCGTCCAGGAAAAAGTTTTATCAATGCCTCGCATATTTATGTGTCTCTGCAACAAAACAGGCTGTGTCAATACTTAAAGCTCCTCACCACCCTCTAGTCCCTCTGATTTTCTCCCTCTGAGCCCCCCAACCCGAGGTAATAAAAAAATATTAGTGTCATTTTCTTCACGTACACATCGGACTTGTTTCTCTCGCGGTCCATGTTACATTTTCGTCTGGTCTGGATATTCAATGTGGCGCCTTGCTTTGGAAGGTTATAGATTAACGTTTTGGGGTGTGGCATTGTAATTTCATCAAAATAAATCATACAGTGACCTTACTCATGTTTACAATGCACTCAGGGTTGATCATTGAACGCTTGATTACCAGTGATTTTTATTTGCGAGTGATTCCGTGTTCCGTGTTCAGTGATTGTGTGAACCATTCGTCCGTGGCCTCGGGCATTAACAGCTGAGAAAAGTGGTTATGAAGTGAAATCATCGCTCCCTTGAATTATAAATCAATTGCCAACGGTTTTGGGGTGTTTGTGGGTGAATAAATTTGGTGGCAAACATGGAATTTAGCGATCAGGAAGTGTGTAGCGTCGGTGGACATTCGAGTGACATCTGAGTGATTGCAGCAGCAAGTAGATTTGTTTTTCTTTTCGTCTGGGTCCCGCTGAGGACCATCAACGCTTATTCGTAAGATTTATTTTCTTTGTTATGAGTCATTTGATGATTTTGTTTTTAGAGATTTTGTGGGGAGCCCCTGCCATGGAATTGACCCTCGAAAGGAGAGTTTTGGGATTTTTTTTATCGAGAAGCAAAAAATTATTCTTCATTAGCATTTATTGAGTTCAGTTGGGGATCGTGTGACTTGAGTTTTTTGGGTTGATTGTCAACTGCTGATGTGGCAAAATACTAATGAAGAATTGTTTATAAAGGAAGAGAAGGTAAAATGGATCTTCTTAAATCGTCAGTATCTCATCACCAAGTAATCCGATTGGGATAAGTCACGTCTCGTTTTCAAATCTGAAACAGTAGTTTTTGAATTGAAAAGAATTGTTGAATTTCACTCTGACGATCTTGAGTTATTGATGATTAAATATAGCTCATTTTCCACTCCTAAAGGTTTTTTTAAAATTTGTAGAGCAGGCGGTTTTCAATTGTCAATATCTCCTAATCAATTGATGCGATTGGGAGAAGTCACGTCTCATTTTTAGGTCTGAAACAGTGGCTTCAAAACGCAAAAAAAATTGTGGAATTTTATTGCGGCGATCTTGAGTTATTGACGTTTAAATTGGCTCATTTTACCCTCCTCTCCCTCTCTTTCCTAAACGGTTTTTTAAGTGAATGGAATCGACACCCTTAAAAAACCTCACTGTTAGAAAACAATTTAAAAATTCGAAAAAAATTAGAAGTCGCCTTTTGGAGGAAGATTGATGAAATAATTAAAAAATAGCAATTTTTGAAAACTACTAACATTTTCTATAAATAATTGATAAACAGTCAATTTTCCACCGTAAAATTATTTGTTCGGAATCGTACCAAATTTATTTATATTCAGAATTTTACCAGAAATCGATTTAATGCCAAAAAAAATAAGGTTTCTGAAAGTTTAAACAATTCCACCAATTTATTTATAAACAACGAATGTTTAAAAAAATAATTCTAAGCAAAATGTAATTTTAATGACGCTGAATATTCATGATTTTTTTCAAATTTTTCTCTCGTAATTTAGGGGTTTTCGTGCGAAAAAGGTAAATAATGACCCGTATCTGGAATTCATATAGAATATTTATAATCACAATTGAATTGTCTATGAATTTTCATAGAATTTTTTCAGACTTTCTTTTCAAATTATCAACGATAAAAGTCGCTGCTCATACATGCAAAATTTGAAAAAAAATCATGAATATTCAGCGTCATTAAAATTATATTTCGCTGAGAATTATTTTTGTTACTCTTATGAAGATTTTTTTGCTTAGCGTAAACCTATATTATCAGCTCAGATGGTAACGCAGTTTCGTGCTAAACAAAAAAATTCCCATAAGAGCCTATAATAACTTGAAAGGGATATCTGAAAAATTTCTAGGAAAATTCATAGATAATTCAATTGAGATTATAAACATTCTATATGAATTCGTATGAATTGCATTATTTATCTTTTTTGCACGAAACACCTTAATTGACACATTTGATGATTGAAAATGACTGAATCTATAGTGTGGTCTGTACCAAACTGTAAAAGACGCTTGGATATCCTTAAATCGCATTCAACGTCACTCTCCTAAAAATTACCAGTCGAGTGTCCACGAAATTACAATTTTTCTCAACCAATGAATATAAAACCCAATTGCACGGCGGGACCTCCCAGCAGAATCCCCCACTCAACCAGTACTGACCCCCGTTTTCCTGATTAAAGGAAGTTTCATGATAACCAGAGTCCGTAAACCCCAGTGGGATGTTGAACGCCATCACTCCCACACCCCAGCAAGACCCAACCGAGATGTCTCGGTTGGCAGATTACTTCGTGGTCGTTGGTTACGACCACGATAAAGAGCGCGGTGGTATAAGCAACGGAACAGTAGTCCAAAGGTTCCCCGAAAAAGATTGGCCCGACACACCCTTTATCGAGGGTATCGAGTGGTTCTGTCAGCCGCAAGGATGGGCCCTGTCCACCGAACGGCAAGAGCCCAGATTTTTCGTTTCCATCCTAACCGACATAGACGCGAACCGTCACTACTGCGCGTGCATGTGTTTCAACGAGACAGTGTCAATCCTCCCCAGCAAGCCGGTCGACGAGGAGGAGGAGCCGGTTGATGGTAACAGTCGAGCGCTGGTCAGAACAATCCCCACAATCGCGCACCACAGCATCATGTACGCCCCCAAGTGTCTCGTCCTGGTCTCAAGACTCGACTACATTGAGACCTTCAGAAACTGCCTGGGAATCATCTACACCGTTTACGTGGAGAACCTGGGGATTCCCCTGGAGACCCTAGTCGGGAACATTCTGGGATGCATCCAGGTGCCCCCAGCGGGTGGTCCCCAAGTTCGTTTCAGCATTGGTGCAGGCGACAGACAGGCCCTGCAGCCACCAATCAGTCCATCCCTCCCGATCACCCACACCAGCGTCAACCTACTCTTCCAACAGCTAGGAATTCGCAACGTCCTTGTCCTCTTCTGCGCAGTAATGACAGAACACAAGATTCTCTTTCACTCAGCGAGCTACTCTCGTCTCACCGAAGGTTGCCGAGCCCTAACCGCCCTGATGTACCCCTTTCGCTACACCCACGTCTACATTCCGCTCTTACCAGCAGCCCTTGTCGAAATCCTGAGCACCCCAACCCCCTTCATAATGGGGGTCCACAGCTCCCTGAAACAGGAGGTCTCAGAACTCATGGACGTGATCGTAGCCGATCTCGACGGTGGCTCCATAACGGTTCCCGACGGAGTGTCCTTGGCTCTCCTCCCTGAACCCCTTCTCTCCCAAACGCAGGATCACCTCTCCCTAGTCCTCCAACCGGAGCTCTCCTGCGCTGACTATGCCTTCCCCCCTCTGGCCACCCGAGCCCCCCACCCCCCAATGCTCGATAAAGAACTGCGCGCCGTCTTCATGCGGACCTTTGCCCAGCTGTTGCAAGGCTACCGAAGCTGTCTCACACTGATTCGAATTCACCCCAGGCCAGTCATAACCTTCCACAAGGCAGCCTTCCTGGGGGAGCGCGGGTTAACCGACTGCGACTTCACAATTCGCGTTCTCGACTGCATGTTCTTTACGTCTTTCGTCGCTGAGAGAGGCCCGCCCTGGCGGCCATGTGACGTCTGGGACGAACTGTACTCTAATATAAGCGATCACCTCAAGCAGGAATCTCAGGACCATCGACTGATTCTATCTCACATTCAAGAGCTAGCTCAACAATTGTACACTAATGAGAATCCAAATCCCCAGCCATACGTTCAGAAGATCCTGAAACCGCCGGACGGTGCATTCGCAAGGATACACCAGCCCCAATTACCGATTATCAATCCTGAACAGGTTCAGGCGATCATTGACGAGGGATTGGCCAAGAATAATCTTAAAGTCCGGCTGACTGGGCTCCGGCAAATTCAGCCGAGAATAGTGCCATCTGGTCCGCACATATCCATTGTACATGACACTAGGCATTTAGTCAGTAATTCAGCGCGTAGGTTAGAGGTACTCAGGAACTGTGTTAATTGTATATTTGAGAATAAGATATCGGACGCGAGAAAGACATTTCCAGCTGTGCTGAGGGCACTC